AAAAAAAAAAAAAAAAAAAAAAAAAAAATGAGAAAGAAATGTAGGACGACTTTAAAAAGTTTCTGAAACGAAGCACTTGTTAATTGTACTTCGCCGAGTGCAATTCAAACGCTATTAAATTATCTTTTTTTACTTCGTTGCGTCGTTTAAGGCGGGGAAATATATATTAAAAATACCGTTCTTACGTACAATTTCACATTTCACCGAGTTCCAACTCGAAAGTATGGAACATTGCTGCTCGAATAATTCGACTTGAAGCTTGATTTCCATCAACATGGCGCTGGTTGCTCGTCCTTTTGTACAAAGTAATTTACAACTTATTTTCATCTGCACAGCTGTCGTGGCTCTCCGTTGGGAAAAAGTTTTGAAGGTGGGACAGCTTTCGTTTGGAAAGGGGACGACAGAGTAATTTGTTAGAATCTAAATGTCATGGCCCTGTTGGGGAAGAAATATTGCCAAGTGCCGGAAATGCACTTGTTTCAACGCGCGACAGCAACGATATACGCCGATATTTCGAAAGCTCGTCCCGAGCTGCTGTGTGCGTGGCTTTAAAGCTTTCCCGGGCGAAACTTGGCCTGCCTCAATATCGATCTGCACGTTGCTTTCGTACTACACTGGACCGCACTTATTTCGCAGACTCTATTCTCTTCGTGTTGTATCGTCGACCCCCGGAGGCGTTGCCACCGAAAGGCAATCTCGTGGTCTCTTGTTGCTCCAGGGCTCTCGTGACTTTAAGTCAAGTTTAAGTCAAGTTTAAATCCAACGGGTGGATGTCGGATAATTCTTAATTTCATGATTCATTTATTCGACAGATGAATCTTAGATCTCGGAGTGGATCATCTGTTGCGAAATTTATTATCTGATAAGAAACAAACTATGGAGAGAGATAGGACTTTTGTAAATGCAACATCTAATTCGTTGCTTTCCTTGAAATTACAATCGTCACTCCGAAATTGATTTCTACGTATTCTATGATGTTTTAACCTTTCAAAAATGCCAAAAATCCGCCGGTTTTTTCCCTCGAGATTTAAATTTGCCCATTTAAATCTCGTTCTGATTCTATATAGAGGTTTTGTAGACAAGTAGCAAAGAAAATCTATCAACTCGTACGATTCACGAGTGAGTGCATCCACTCGAGATTATTCGTTTAATTTTAATTCCTTTTCAGATTGGTGGACGACAGATGCGTGGTATGCCCCGAGGCTGGAGATTTATCGAATCCACCCAAGAAGTTCAGAGGTAAAGCTCTATCATAAAAAATAAATATCATCTTAGTTTATGGTCTTTTAATCAGATACTTTGGATACGATCGATTCTTTCGTCCAATTGATGAATCACAGCGCTGGTGTTTCGTGTCGTTTCTAGATTGCCTGTTCAAAATATGCCCTATGAATCGTTACTCCGCCCAAAAGCAATTTTGGAAGGCGGCGAAGCAAAGCGCCAGCGGCACCGACGCCGTGCTTCTAAAAAGACTGCACGTGAGTTTGAAAATTGCATTAAACTTTTTACGTCTCTTTCGTCGTACGAGACTGGTGCGTATGAAATGTTCCTTTGAAGCTCGTATCCGTCGATTATCGAGTTTTGGAGAATACTCTGAAAATTGCTGGGAGCATACAAATCAAAAGGATCCCTCGTTTCAGTTGATTGAAATGAAACCCTGTTCTAAAAATTGTTTAAATTTGTAGTTCGTTAGTTGGAAGAAATGTGTAATTATACTTCAATTGAACGCATGACGCTTTGGAAGCAACTGCACGCGATCAAAATTGCACTTGAAAAGCAACATTTCTGATGCATCAATCTAGTAATAACAGCAGCATTGCTTGTCTCGTGTTATTCAATAAAGCTGTTAACGTGGATCAATTTTTAGCATGCCGCTGAGATAGAAAAGAAGCAAAACGAGACTGAGAACAAGAAACTGCTCGGCAGCGTGGTCTCCTAC